AGGTTGTCGAAGTCGTTTACTGTTTGATATGAGTGAGCAAACAACGATATTGAAGATTGTACTAATAATATTGACAAGCAAGACGCATAAAACCAAGTCGAAATGTTAATTAATGATTTGACCGCTGGTCGAAATTGGAGAAATTTGCCATACTTGATAGTTGTAAAAGCTCTAACCCTATGTCTACCTTTGTAGATAATTCATAAGCTTGACAGAGAAGTTTAAAGTGCAAATATATCGATTTAAGGCCTTGGGATAACAAATATACGATCGCAAAGTTATTTAAATTCCTAATCATACTTATATTTTTTGTATTATAAATAGATAATTAATCAATTAATCATCACACATGGTATAACCATGTCTAAAAACAACATTGTAGTCAACAAAATTGTGCTAGTATTAATTTTATTATGTACTACTCAATCCACGATTTCTTAAAGATAAATAAACATTTATCCTTATCTTACTCATGGTAATCATTAATAGTATGTAAAAATATTGAATATAGTTTGATTCGATTACAATAGAATAGGAATAAGTTTGTTTTCCCTTACTGAGGATCGCCAGAATTAGTTGGAGAACCATAATAGTAGATAGGCTAGATTAGTTACGATCACGAAAGTTGTTTTGTGACAGTCATTTTTTGTACTAGTTATATTTTGTAAGTTACTATAAGCTCCTACCGAATTATAGTACTAATTGTAATTTATTCTTCCTAATGATAAAAATCATCGACAATTGTACTTTACAATAGCAGATTTTATTGGAGTAATTGAATTTTCGGGTTACAAGCTATACACCGACATTATGTTGGTAGCTATACAAAGCTAAACAGCTATATTAATGAAACGAGTTAATCTCGTAACTGTAATTCACAGCTGCATTCAATTAATTTCAATGTAAAGTTGCCCTGCGAAGCTGTTATGATTAGTCAACATATGTTTAACTTAACAAAATTTAATCAATGAAATCATGCTAATCATGAACTCTAAACGTTCTTTAAGTAAGATGAAAAGGAAAATTAGCTACCAATGATTATGAACCTTAAGTATAAATGCTAATTAGCCCATATTAAACCGTAACTTCTGTCAACTCCAAATTTATTTGCATGACCAGATAACTTGTAATCAAGGGGCCTGCCGCCTATTCTTGTTTGCATTTTTAATTATCCATAATGTTAATTGAAATCATCGTGCGTACTTTATAATTATCAGTAGAATTGCGTAAATATGCTAAACTGTTGAAGACATATTAATTACGTCATAAAATTAGTCAAATTCAGCATTTCAGAGGCATACAAGCTAGAGTATTTTTAAAATAGAATATACGAATGAGAATAATACAAAGTAAGAGGGTAGTATCAGATTACTTATATTGAATTCTGATCAAAAATTAGCTAAATCAAAATATCAATCTCTTAATGCAAAGAAAAAAAAATAATATATTAAGATTAAGACATCTCTTAGCCATTTTTATGCGATACAACTTATTTTAAGTAGCCCTTTCTGGCATTTATAAGAAGTTAACTTAAATTTGGAATTAACTTGAAGAAGGTTCTCCTAAAATCGGCACTTGAAAAATTATATACAATTTTTTTGTCTTTTCATCGATTTCATGACTTTGACTTTATAGATAGAATTACCAAGTAGCGGACTATTTCTATACAATGTTAATGTGATCTTAACGTAGCAAAATAACATCCCCCAAAGAAGAAATTAAAACTGCTTAAATGTCAAAATGACTGATAAAATAAATGTTGTTAAGTACAAGTTGAAATAAAATAGTAGAAAAACCAATAATCTGATAGCTATCGTAAGCAAGCACCATAATCGCATTTCTGAATAAATAAAAGTATAGATCCAAATACCAATAAAATTTATCCAAATTTTATCTTTACTAACCGTTACAAATATCGTATATATTATTCTGCGATACCTTACGAATGAGAAAATAGACAAGATAGTAATAAGATTGGATGTAGGCACTACAGAAATATAATTGGCTACAATTCCAAAGTTCTGATAATTTTTCTGCCATGAGGGATTCTTTTGCATGATTGTCAGAGCTAACAGGCAGCATTGTATGAGCACTTGCTGCTAAACAAATCAAAATATCCGTGATTGTTAAACTAGTAATAATAATGTGTAGTAATGGTTGAAGATCATTATTGGAAATCACCAAGTAGCACTCAATTATGTCAAATAAAATCCCAATAAAACCGACACTGAGTGTGACCACTACTAAAAACTAATTCAAAATTCATTTATGGAAAAACTTTCATTCATTAGATTAAATATTTTATATACGTAATGATAAACTATCTCGCCATTACAAGAATCTTAAATTCAGTTTAATCAATTTAAATCAAATTATAAATGATCAACTAATGGTGATCAATAGACCTTCGATTGCAAGGTTTCCTAAGCTTGCGGAGATGATCGGTAAAGGTTCATTAATGGAACTATACTTGTTTGTTATACTTCATATTTCTTATAAAAATAAATTATTGGCGATTGCATTATCTTTTAAAGTCGTACCAAATAAAATTGCAACCAATTCTGCCATAATCATTCGTAAAGAAAATATAGAGAGATTACTTGCTATTCTACATAGATTAGGAAAAGTCTAAATGAAGATATCTATCTACTACCTCATAAAGCAGTAACAGAAATACGAGGTAACTTAATGAAAGATAATTGATCATCATATAATGCAACTGATGCTATAACATTAGTAAATAACGGTTTATCACTTTTTATAAGTGCTCAATACCAAATTAATAATCATACTGTTGAAGAAATCAACGATTGGCTCCCATATGCATCTACAATTTTAAATTTAGTCTTGTATAGTGATGATTACAGTAGAAGTATTGCAACTAATGTTATGGTATCGTGATACAGCTACAGGTAAACCAAATATGACAGAGTCATTCCCTGCGAGTATTGCTAGTGACGTTGCTACTGTAAAAGGCAAATAAATTCGAGATATGAAATCAGTCACAAATACTCAATATAACAGAGGTATTCATGCAAGACAGCTATTAACAACAGGAGATAAAACAGATATCACTTTTAATACCTCTAAGTTCTATATTTGGATTCTGCAAAGATATTGATACAGTGTTTATAGGTGTGAAAGATACTTTACAATTCGATAGAGCTGTAACAAAAAACTATATTATAAAAGATAGTAATGTTGGTGACGGAAATTTTAAAAATATCACATGTTTCAATGTGGATGCCTAAAGTAACTCCATCATCAGAAGTAGCTGACCAATTGGAGGCCAAACTTGTTAGTGGATACATTAGTAATCTTTACTTTGAGCAAGTTAAAGTTTATATGACACAATACGCAGCTAATCAAACATCTCCTACCTAGAGAATTACTATACAACCTGGAACAGAATTACCACGTCATATTATCATTGTATTTCAATCTACTGAACGAGAAAATAATCAAAACACGAATATTATGATATTTGATAATGCAGATGCAAGGCGTATTTCAGCTAGAATTTACTCGATTCAATACCCTGAAAGAGAGATAGAATGCAACTTTCATCCATCCAATAGAAATTACAGTTGACCTTATATGATGTTTATGGAGGCAATCAATAAATATCAAGATACAGATACTGGTTCACAGTTATCAGCTGAAAATTGGGCAAATTTGTATCCTATATTCCATTTCGATGTATCGAAACATAATGAACGGTTAAAAAATAGTCCAGTAGATATTGAAGTAAAATGGACTTTAGGGGAAAATTTTAAGAGTATGAATGATAACAGTAATGATGTCCCATATTATGTTTATGCTGTCGTTTTGACTGATAGATATTTGAAACTACATGGATTAGGAAGAGGAATGAATGTTGCTGTATAAGGCTATATTATTATGAAATATTACATAAGCATTAGACTCACCTTAACAACGATTCAGAAGAGTGTTATTACTAAAGCCTATCAACAAAATAAAACAATGATTATAAGATTATTACCACATCAATAACATGGGAATGATCAATTAGGATTAACTTTAACGCAATACAATAAAGTTGTTAAAGTTAGAAATAACAATAAGAGTGTTATACTAAAATTAAGCAGAGATCAAGTATCTTAACAAGCAGGTTGGTTAGGTGCTTTAATGGGTTTAATTCGCGCAGCTGTTCCTAAAGTAATAAAAAATGTGGTACCATAGCTGGCAATGGCTGCAGCTATCGGTGCTATTTCTGGAACTACATATAAAACAACTGGTGAAAGAGGCATTTTATCTAGCAGTAATATATATAGGATGCCTTATTCAGAATATGGAGTAAATGTTTAACCATCACAGAAACAGAAACTAGAATCAGCAATAATAGTAAGAGAGGATGTACACTTCGTTTATCTCATTCCGAATTAACAGGGTCTGGTAAATCATATCTAACATGTCGACAAATTAATAAAATTAATAAAGCTAAACTGAACAACACTGGTTGTGATATCAAATTATCTAAAACTCAAGTAGTCAAAAATGGTGGATTTATTGGTGCTTTATTAGCTGGTATTTTACCTGCTGTTATTAGTGGAATAGCTGGGAGAGGGGTAACATTACCTGGAACTATCTCTAAAAAAATAAAGGATTATAAAAAATAAATCAATAAAAAAGGCAAATCAATATATATTCCAAAAAGGATGCATATTCCAGGGCATTTACAGACTCCTCCATACGTAGGAAGATGGACACAACGATAAAAGTATTAAGTAATATAGCAATTGATCATATCATTCATGAAGAAATATAAGATAAAAAACTTTCAGGGTGTTTATTCAAAGGATATGTTGCCATAGTCTATGTTACAAAGTGAGTGTTAAGTAGTAAATTTGCAGGATTATTTTGCAGGACCAAGAACACATTGGATTTGTTATTATTGTGATCCATCCAGCAATAATGTTGAGTATTTTAATTCATTTAGATTATATCCTCCAAGTGAAATACTATCTTATCTAAAAACGGCTAAGAAAGGGATAGTGCATAATCGATCACAAATACAAAACATCAGTTCGATTATGTGGGGATATTATTGTTGTTTCTATTTAACAAAATGTAGCTACAATTATAAACCACTTGATATTTTACTAGAGTATGAGCAGAAGCCGACAGTTTTTAATGAACAGTTGATAAAACCATTTGCTAATTTATTAAATAATATATTATAAGTGATGTTATCATATTGCATTCGAGAAAGAAATGATATCGATTCTATTCCCGATAGTACGTTACTTGTGGAAACAAAAAATAATAGAATAATTATAAAGAGTAAATGTATTTCCCGTGGTTCTATCAAGGCCAGATTTGATAACAGTATTACAGGTTTTGGTAATAAAGATGTCGATTGGTCTACTCAATTAGCTAATGAACTGCATAAACCAATCAGAAGGAACTTTCCTAAGCGTCGTGTAAGAGTGAATAAAACTGATGATATTTGGTCAGCTGATCTTGTTGATATGCAGGAATTTACAAAATACAATAAGGGTTACAAATATTTGCTTACTGTAATTGATGTCTTTAGTAAATACGCTTGGAGCGTACCCTGGAAAGAGAAGATAGGTAACAATACTGCCGAAGCATTCAACAAGATTATTAAATCTAGTCATAGAAAGCCGATCAAGTTATGAGTTGATCAAGGATCCGAGTTTTATAATAGAGTTTTTGGTAAGATGTTGAACGCTTATAATATTGAGCGCTATAGTATGTACAATGAAAGAAAATCAGTTGTTATTGGGAGATTTAACAGAACGTTGAAGGTTTATTTAAAAATCTAGAAGAAAAAACTAAGACTGTTCGGTACCACAAGTAGTTAACTTATTCTTACTCTGCATATTTAAGAAAAGTAATTATAACTGATCAAAAAGAACAGGAAAAAAATGGAGAAGAAGAACTCAATCGTTGAAGAACACAAGGAAACAATTAAAGCTGCTATTTCAGTATCCCCGAAATATCTGGAATTATATCACGATTCCAATTTTACGGACATTAAATTAATTATTGGTGATCGCAGTTTCTTATGCCATCGAATAGTTTTAGCTGCATGTAGTGAATATTTTTGCGCTATGTTTACGAGTGATTTTAAAGAAAAGAACGAAGTAGATGTGAATCTAGTAGAGATTGATCCTGTGATAGCCTCTCTCGTTATCAAGTACATTTATGGTCATGAATTAGAATTGACACTAATGGAATTATCGCGTGTTCAGGCGATTTACGCACTAGCTTTGCAATGGACAATCAGGGAATTACAGAAGCAATGTCATGATTACTTTACTGCCATCATGAATGCTGAAAATTGCTGTCAACTAGCAAGTTTTGCCGATTATTATCATGCAGCAAAATTATGTGATGAAATTCTAGTTTATATAAGGGAAAATTTCTTCGAATGTATAAAGGTTAAATCGATCAAAGATCTTTCCTATGATTTACTTATTCAATTAATACAATGTGATTATCTTAATGTGACAGATGAAGATTCTCTACTAGAATCTATCAGTATCTGGATTGATTCAGATATATCACAGAAGAAAAGATATCTCATATCTTTGTTAAGTAACTTACGCTTACCTTATATTTCGCCTGAGTCTTTAATTGCAATAGAAGAAAGATATATTGATGTCATTGAAAATTCGCTTGAATATTTAAATATGCTACGACGAGTTAAAAATTACAGTCTCATTCCAGAAAACTATTTCGATAAATCAGCAAAACCCCGCATGTACATTAAAAATGTTGATTATTGCGGCGTTACGTCCATCCACAAAAGCGATGCAAAAAAGAGACAGGATTGCTTTAATGTATATGGTATCATTAATAATAAACGTTATCGACTTCAGCGCTTGGATTCCAGTACTTTAGTTGATGCCAGTAACATCAATCAAATCGAGCGTGTACGCTTATTAACCTATGCGGCCGTCTGTGTAGGTCATAAAATCATCGTATTTGGAGGCGTTAATGAAGGTAGATTGAATTAACTTCTATCAATGTGTGATTATAGCAACAACATAAGATTTAAATTCTCGCTAAATCTAGAGACTAGAATACTATTTTGTATAACGATGATGATATTTACCGTATCTACTGTATTGTACATGCCTTGTTCTTGTCGTGGATAATTTTTTTTTCGGGAAGATTGTGCGATCGGCTATATTCTACCTGCGCGACATTTGAGCTATATCTTTATTTATCATCACAGTAATTCTAGAGTTTTAGAATCTGTGCCATTTCCATTGATGTCATTCCGTATAATCACCATTTATAGATAAATTTAAATAAGCTATCTAAAATGTTTAATTTATTGACGTAGATAAGCAAGCTCTGGACTCTATAGTCGCATTCGATGTCCGAAAAACTAAATGGACATGTCCTACGTGGGCTTTTGAATTACCGGAACCTTTAGCTTACCTTGCAGCCTGCATTTACAAGGATGATATATATATAATGGGTGGCTTAAACAAGAATAATCAGTGTTCAAATAAAGTATGGAGACTATGTAGGCAAAACAAGACTTGGGAAGCAGTAGCACCACTCAATACTGCTCGTAAATGCTGTCAAGTTGTCGTGGTAGAAAATTTTATTTACATTGGTGGCGGTCTAGATGATAACGAGGACTTGATTACGACATTTGAAAGATATAATCCTCTACTTAACACTTGGAATATTGTTTATGAACTTAAAACTATACATCATTCCATTCGTTTAATTTACGCTCGTAGTAAATTATTTATCTATCACAGTGAAAGTACTTACGACTGCTACATGCAAAGCGCAGATGGAAAATGGTATAAAGCTTCCGAACGCGAAATTAGTGAATGTAGTCGAGAAATTCACGGTATTGATTACATAACCGATGGTTATATAGCCATCGACCAAAAGATGAATGGATATGGCTTCTTTATTCCACGTTGTAAATAGGTGTATAACGTCAAACCAGTGAAAGAAATTCCATAAAGTTATGTCATGAGGACATAGCCAAGGATACTTATACGCATATGTAATAACTCAGACGTTTATGATGGACAGGATGATGAAGATGATGAGTAATGGGAAGAAGATGCCTAAGAAATAATTGATCTCGCTGGTTAGCTGGAATTCCTCTTTCAAGGTTACTTCATAGACTCGATCAACATTCGATTGAATTTCATCAAGTTAATATTACACTTAGCCTAACTGTATACAATAGCTAATGTTTAAACAAAGAGCAAAGAAGCAGTGACTTTCATTGATAGATTTGAAGATCCTTTATGTTATAAGAGAAAGCTTTGTATATGACGGTTATAGAATCAAAGCTGACAGGAATTTATAACAAAAAAAAAAAATTACTTTCATGTGTGTAACTGTGAGTGTAAAACATAGAGTATAAAATTTGTTGTATTAGGATAAATATTTATGATATTATAGTAAATAGGTAGCTATATAAGAAGCACGGAGAGATGCTAAGGATGTCGAATTAGAGAAATGAATGATGAGTGCCACTTGTTATACTATTTATCATCCTAACTGATCGACATGAATTTCCTGTTATGATATAATAAAGTCTACTTTACCGTTAACTGTTATTGGAAATTTGTATGAAGAAGAT